AGTGAAGATTGTCAGGTGCAATGCTGTGTCTTGATGAAAATCACTAGCACCTTGTACAGTTGTTTGCCAGTCTCTCCCATTCACCGGGAGGTGTTTTCCTAATGACCATGGCCCAGTAAAAGGACAAACAGATTTGTTTTGGAAGAAGTATGGCCAGAGTGCCCTTAGAGGGAAGGATAGGGTGACTTTGTCTTACCTGCTTTGGACATGCGGTGAGCGGAGAGCCGTCCCTGAAGAAGGACGTCATGCCTGGTGCAGTGGCGAGGCAGTGGAGAAGAGGAAGACCTCAATGAGACGATTGGCCTGTGGCTGCAGCACTGGGCTCAGGCATCGGCACTTATGAGCCTGGCACAGGACTGGGCAGTGTTCTGGTCTGTTGCACATAGGGTCGTTATGGGTCACCACTGACTCGATGGCACCTGATAGCTACGACAACAACAACATGCTCCGTGTTTGGTTACGACACCAGGTAAGAAGTGGGGCATGTGCCACCGGCTTTCCTTCAGGCTCCTTCTTCTTAGGACGTTTACTGTAGGCCAGGAAACCAAAAGAAAAGATTTCTTTTTCTGATGAAGACTAAGGGGGACTAAGCAGGGTGCTAACTGACTGCGGGCTCCAGCAGGCTGGAGTGCATTTACCTGGTAGGGATCTAGAAGGCGATGCAGAGAATGCAGCTCTGAGCGGGAGACTGGAACAGCAAGTATGTGCAGGCATCGCAGGGCACTTTTGTACATGACCTATGTTTTCAAAATGTTCACACAACAAAATACATTTTCTACGAACAAGTGCTCTTATTCTTGCGCCTCATCCCACCTCTTCTAGAGTCTGGGAAGGCACACGTCACTCACATATCTGTGGTATAGTGGTTATGCTTTAGACTGTGAGCCCAAAGGTCAACAGTTTGAAACCACCAGCTGCTCCAAGGGAAGGATCTGGGGCCTCTTACTCCCTTAAACGGTTGCAGGTGCATGAACTCATGGGGGCAGTTCTAGGCTGTCCTTTAGAGTCTGTATGAGTCAGCAACGACCCAAGGACAGTGAGTTTGGTTTGGGGAACAGAATATTAACATTATTTAGCATGCATTCTCTCACTGTAAAAAAACCATCTATCGACTCGACCATATCTAAAGTCAGCTGGTCACAAAAGGGTAAAACGAAGACAAACCAACAGCCTCTGTCAGGTGTGTAAGCATACACGAAAGATGCTGCTAGGGAATGAGCACCATGAGTCAAATACTTGCATTTTTTTATCTTTCAGATTTATCAGAGTTTGGTCAAGTCAAAACCCAGAGAGCTGCCTAGCTTTGAAAGCAATCACAGGGTTACCCTTTCACTGTTCATCCAGTGCATATGCTCTATAAATAGCCACCTCGGTGGTTTTAGATACGCACTTTGATTAAAAGTCTGAAAACGTCCAGTTTGTGAGAGGGTTGATTGCCTGGGTGGGTGCCAGTGCTTGCCCAGACTGGGGGATTCGTTTGCCTGGCCTTGAAACTGTGCTTTAGTTTCACAGTCAGTTTGGAGGGTGCTGTCTGTGTCTGGACTCTGAATGCAGATTCGTTTTCCACTTTATCTCAACTGGTTTCCTTCTCAATCTCTGCTTTCACCCCAGTGACATGCATATTTGTTGTAATTCCTTAAAATAAAATACATAGATGATAGACAGATTAAAAACAACTTTTGTTTGATCTCACATCTCCATCTAGCCATTTCCCCTTATTCTGCACCTGATTTTAGTAAAACTTTCAAAAGAGTTACCTATTCTAGGTGCTCCACTTCCTATCCGTCCTATACTCTCATCACTTCAGTTCAGTTATAGTTTGCCCTCCTCACTCCTCCGAACCCTGCTTGTGAATGTCCTCAGCGACTCCATGGGGATACATCCAGTGGTCAGTACTCAGCCCTTCCCTTCATATTTGACCTAAAAGTAACAGGTAATGCGATGAGCTGTTTCTTCCCTCTTCCTTCTTCTTGGAAGGAGATAGTTACAGATACTCCTTCTGCCCCTCTGCTTCCTCCTTCTCAGGCTTCTTTGCTGATTTCTACATATTTCCCTTGACTCTACATATTGGAGTGTCCTGAAATGAGCATGCCCTTAATGGTCTGAGCCAGTCTCGTGACATTAAATGGAACCTTTGATCTTAACTGTTGAGCTCCAGCCCTACTCTCCAAAATGATATCCAACTGTCATTCTGACAGGGCGTCTAAAACCAACATGGCCAAATGCAGTTCTTTTTGCAATGTTCCTTATCTCAATAAATGTCAAATCTATTAATATCCCATATTAGTATTTGCTTGAATTATTTGTCATCTATGAGTGTACACAAGTGTGTGTACACATAGCAGTATAGGAGGGTAAGTAAAAAAGCATTTGCTATTGGGATTCAAGTTCATGTGCACATGGATTTATTCTTCATAAAATGTGTTGAGATATGTTTAAAGGTGATGAGTGGATGGTTGCAGTTCTCTTAGTAATGCACTTATTCTCATCTCCTTAGGGTGCCTTAAAAAAGATTCAGTCAAAACTGGGATGTTCAAAAGGATTTGCTGGGCCCTTTATATGTGATGCAGAAAGGGAAGCTCATAAGATCATGGCAGCTGTGTTGGGGGTCCCAAAGAAATAATCCTGAGAGATTTTTTTTCAAAGGGTGAGGAAGGGAACTTGTTATCGAGGAGTTTCAAAAATAATTGAAAACTTTATTGATGAGGAAAAGGCTAGGAAAATTGCACAACAATGCGCCTGCTCATTCATCAAGGGTACCACGGGCTGACGTAGTGAGAATGTCCTTGGGGGAGCTCATGCCACCCGCCTTACTGCCCTGATCTTGCTGCAGCCAAATTGGTTTGTTCCCCAAACTCAAAGATCAAAAAGGAACATGCCTTGAGGCCCCAGAGGATGCCTGAACTGATATTTTGACCTGGTGTGACTCATAGAGAAGTATTCATGCTAGGGTTTAGAGAGATGGAAACACTGTATTCAGAAGTGCATACACCAAGAGAGAGGGTATGTTAAGAAACAATAGTTTACATTTAAGTATCTTGCTTTAAGAAAGTCTTTTTTTTTATGACTGTTCTGCAATATTTTTTTGACTAAGTCTCCTGTATGTATACATAATTTTTCTCTACTTTTTTCCTCTACCCTATTTGTCAGCAATGTCTGCTGGCCCCGTCGCTAACCTTTCCAGGATCTGCCTATTTCTCCTGCTCTTATCTTAGAATGGGTCACAACTATATCTCTCTAGAATTACTGCAGTCACTTCTTAACTGGGTTCCTGACGTCTACCATTCTTTCCTGTGGTGTATTTTGAATATGGCATCAAGAATGGAGGGAGACTCTTTAGCAACTTGCTGTGTGCAGATGATGCCACCTTGCTTGCTGAGAGCAAGAGGCCGAGAAGCCTCATGTTGAGGACGATCCAAGACTCCAGCCTTTCATATGGATTGCAACTCAAAGTAAAAGGAACAAGACTCCTCACAACGCGGCCAGTAGACCGCATCATGAAACGGAGAAAAGATGGAAATGCGCGAGGATTTTATTTTACGTGGATCACAATCAGCACCTAGGAGAACAATACTCGAGACATCGAAGGATATACTGCACTAGGGAAAACTGCTGTAGAAGAGCTCTTTTGGGTGTTCAGAAGCAAGGATGCCACATTGGGTGACATGATCCATGCCAGGATAGTCACCATCACTTTATACGTATTTGAAAGGTAAACAAAGAATAGAGAAGACTGCAGAGAATCGATGTGCGCCATGATGGTGTTTGGGAAAATAGTGAATATACCGTGGTGGCCTGAAGAAAGAACAAACCCATGTTGGAAAATACGGCTAAGCAGCTACCCACAATGCTCCCAAAGTTCAGTTGGAGAGACTTTATCTCATGTACTTTGCACGTGCCATCAGGAGAGAAGTTCTTGGAGAAGGACACCGTGCTAGGTAAAGTGGAGGATTTGCAAAAAGAGGAAGACCGTGGGGACTGGGTCTGGATTGACATGATGCTGCGATGGTGGATTCAAGCATCCCATCGTGCGGCTGCTGTGAGCCTGCGCAGTGTTCCATGTCGCTGTTCCAGGATCAAGGAGAGTCAGAGGCAGCGTGAGAGCACCCAAGAGCGTCACATTTATAACAGGCATTAACGCTCTGTAATCAAAACAGGGGCTGTTGGTTAAACATATTCTTAAAATTAATAATACAGAAGAAGAATTTTTGTAAATCTTAAGTGTCTATCTTTAGCATGAATGTGAGCTTCACCGAGTATGGCTTTATCACTGCTATCCTTAGGGAAAGAGGGCACCAGGCTTTTTTTTTTTTTAAATGAACCCAGATGTCCAGAATTGTATTCTTCCTCAAATTTAAACATAGCTCCAGCAGTTGTTTCAAAGCTGGAGTCGTTGAACATGACCGTGGGGATGTTAAGTGAGGTGAGACAGCTGCTTTTGTCTGTGAGGAAACTTAATTTGTGTGACACTTTCCTTCTGTCTTCCAGGAAATTAGCACGTGCCGCTTTAAAACACAGAATGGGGCTGCTGCAGTGTTTACTAGGTCAATCCAGTTTATTTCCCATCCAATCTGAGTGACTGTGTGTATGACCCTTTAGCCTGTGTTGCACGTGGCAGATTCTACCCACTGCAGGGGCGGTGCGTTCATTCACGTGGCTCTTCTAGCCAAAGGTTGTGAGTTCCACCAAATCACCTTCCCTGCATGGGTCTGGGAGGAAGGTGGGGGAAGATACTGAGAGCATTCACCTGTGAGTCATTGAGAACTAAAGTCCCTGAAACGCCATCCACTGAATATAAAAGGAGGCCTCTGAGAAGCAGGAGGAAGGATCTCAGTACCAGTGAGTCAGGAGTGGAGCTCTGTGCGGTGAGCCTCCGGAATCCAGAAGAGAGCCATGGCGTCAGAGGAGCCGCAGCAGGACCGGGAGCCAGAGCACAGAACAGTGACGGGCTTCTGAGCGCTTTCGTGCAGGAGGTTGGCTTGTGGAGTGGGGTGCCTCTGGGCACTTAATTGGGGAAGATGGACTTGCTGACCCCAGAAGTGGAGCCGAGTGTCTGCAGGCTCAGGCTGACTGGAGTGAGTAGCCTTTTGGCACCTAATACAGGGAACCGGGTTTGCTGACCCAGGGAGGTGAGCTGCCTGCTTTTGGGTTGCGGCTTATAGGGGAGTGGTATCCCCATGGGGGTATTTATGAGCAGACCTGAAAGAACATTGTAACATGTCCTGATAAACGGCTCTACCCGGACCGCTTCTCCCTGGCATCGCACACTGTTCACTTTCTCATTGAGCCCCTTCTGACAAAGTCCTGACTTGGGTCTGAGTTCTGTGCAGCCAGGACACCTGGAGTGGTAAACTCGAGAACACTAGTAAGACCACTTGAAAAAATACTTTTCTTTAGAATGAATGCTTCAACGTGGGGTCCTGTAGAGAAGACAGGATGTGACTTGCATGGTGAGCCTACCTTGTGCCCAGCAGAGATACCCAAGCTGGTATCTCCCATGGGACTCCGAGAGCTGGGGCATGCCCATTTTAGGAAGGGTTGAATGATGGGGGTGGGGCACCCTGAACGCTTCTGAATAAAATACACTCTCAATGACCAGAACGGATAGAGGAGAACAGCAATTTGGGAAACATGGCAGGTGATCTCCCCGGGCCTTTCGGGTTTCCTGAGAGGACAGGAGCTGGAACACCAGAGTGGAGGGAGCAGCCCCGAGGAGGGGGGACGATTTCCTATCGCCCAGGAAGCCCCCTCTCTTCCTTGTTAGTGCGGGGGAGTCAAGGAGGGCGGTTGTGTTGTGGGGTTGCTGGGCGGGATATAACCTTTTCAATAGCCTTCCTAGGCTTTTACCTCCCTTTTCTTTTCCCTTAATTCAAGACTAATTCACATGTGTTTGTGTGAAGTTTAGAGAATATACATTAATATAAAGAACAAGTTTAAAACTATGCTCAACAAGCTAGATGATTCTGATAAAAACACCATTCTTTTGTTGCGGTGGGGCTTCATAAAAAAAGGAAAACCAAGTCCATTGATGAGGCCTTGATTTCCACTCGTGGTGACCCCATGTGTGTGGAAATGCCCGCCTGGGGTTTTTCCGTGGCTGAGGATTGGGAAGTCAATTGCTAAGTGTTTTTTCAAAGGGAACTCTGGGTCAGACTTGACACATCAACTTTAGTTGCAGGCACCATGAATCATTGGTACCACACTGGTACTCCATCACAGATTGATTTCTGCTCCAATTTGAAGATGTAATAGCTTTTGCTTAATTTATTAGTGATCAGGTTCCTTAGTTGGACAATTAATACAAACTGCATCCCCTCCAAAGCAAACAAACAAACAAAAACCCAAGTCACACCATAGTTGCCTTGTGGGTAGTGCAAGGGCTTGAGGGAACAATGTGGGAAGGTGGCCAGTGTGTAACCCTTGTAGCTTCTGGAGACTGCCATTGTCGGTAGGAGAGGACTCTAGGTCTGCTTGCAACAACAGTGCAGGCCAGCCTTGTGGTCATAATTACTCGGTGTTCTCTGAGCTGTCCAATATCACTGTGCATTAGTAAGGGAAGTTTTCTCTTGTCCATATTAGAGATGGAGAAAATGGGGTACCGGGCTCAAGTAGCTAGCCTAAGAGTGCTTAATTGGATAGAGGTCCTGACTGCTAATGAAGTCACCTTTCCATGACACTTTGAATTTCCACGATTTGTACTCACTGAACGTTGGGTGCCTGAGGCTGGTGTCCTGCTGAGAAGCCCACAGGAGCAGGTATCATATCGTGGCACAAGGGAGATAAGCCTGAACCCCCATAGGTCAGAGGAGGCATCCCTTAGGAAGTGACCTGTGCGTGGCAGCTGGAGACCAAGTAGTCATTAAGTACAAGAGGGGACAGCCATTGGGGGGTGTCAGCATGTTGGTATCTGCCTGTAGCACCATGTAAGAGAAATTGTTTTGGGTTTTCTCTTTTCTTTCTTACCTTGTTCTCTTTTGCATGATCTTGCAGGGTTATTTGAAATTTTGTAAGCCGTGAAAACCTTTCCCTCTTCTTTATTGCAAGGTGGAATATGCGCTAATTAAATAAAATGTGAGCCTGCAGTCAGGCAGCTGTTATGATGTTCATTCCAGGCATGTGTAGCCCTCTGTTTTGCCCTTCTAAGTTTTGTCTTTTTAAGGAGATAGTTGAAAGATTTGGTAGAGCTTGCTTATGCCTGTCAATCCCCATTGATCTCACCTGGTATAGTTTGCTTGCTTTACTCATTGGCCAAAGCCTCGGTTTCTTCTTGCAAGGTGTTTCTGATCACCTCATCGGGAGCAAGCCTGAAATCTGTTTGCCTGCTAAGAAAAGGACATCAGAGAGCTAGCTGTTTTTCTGTAAAACATATTCCCCTGCTGCTGTGTCATTTATGCATTCAACTCACATTTCCTGAGCATTTACTACTTGCTATAAATTCTTCTAGGTGGAACTAGCAAAAAAAAGATTGTTCTTACCTGATATGCGAGCCGACTAGTGCAGGGAGAGGATGGTAAGAGTACTCTGCAGCCCCTGCACCCACCCCTTTGGCTGGCAGAGGATGCTCAGGCTAGGAGGTCTCTAAATACAACTATTTGACGGCATTATGGATGTGGACTCAAAAGATTTCATCCTATTCAGGGGGAAAGAAATATCACGTCTTCTAGTGTTATCCGCTATTGTACTTTTACATTTTGGTAGAAATACATTTTAATCTAATGGATACTTACGTTTTCTTCCCAGCCATATGCAAACTTTCAGTTGCAGCCAGAAAAGTGTTCTCTTTTTGAGAGAATGGTCCCTCAGCAGCCAAGCCAAACCCATCACTCTCCAGCAGATGCGCAATCATCATGACTCTTTATAAATAATAACAACAACAACAACAACAAAGCAAAATCCCACTGCCATCAACTTGATTCTGATGCATGGGGACCCTATTGGACAGACTAGAACTACTCCTTAGGATTTCAGAGGCTGAAAATCTTTCCAGGAACAGACAGCCTCATTTTTTTTTTTTTTGCCCCTGAAGAGCAGCTGGGGGTTAACAGCCCAATGTTAACCCACCGTGAGAACAGGGCTCTTGAGGACCATATAACTCCCCCCCAAAAAAACCCCACGCCATTGCCATTTGAGTCAATTCTGACTCAGTGACCCCATAGAACAGAGTAGAACTGCCTCTGTGTTTCCTGGACTATACATCTTTATGGAGCTAGCCCATAGAGCGGCAGTTCTCAACCTGTGGGTCATGACCCCTTTTGGGGGTTGAATGACCCTTTCACAGGGGTCTCCTAAGACCATCGGAAAACACATGTTTCCCGATGGTCTTGGGAACCGAGACACCGCTCCTCTCTCCGTCTCCAGGCGGGTCCACCCACATGCAGATAAGCCCACATATGAGTACCCAGCGTGAACACTGTTACCCATGCTACACCATGCTTCAAGACATTTCATTGATTTGTAATTAGGAATAAATATTTCACAATATATTTACATATTGTTTTGTGATTCATCACTAGGCTTTCATTATGTTGAATGTGTAACAATGAAAATATATCCTGCTGATCAGATATTTTCATTATGATTCATAACAGTAGCAAGATGACAGTGATGAAGTAGCAACAAAAATAATTTTATGGTTGGGGGGTCACCACAACATGAGGAACTGTACTAAAGGGTCGCGGCATTAGGGAGGTTGAGAACCACTGCCATCGAGTTTTAAGGGCTACAGATCTTTGTAGAAGCAGACTGCCCAAGTCTTTTTCCTGCAGAGGAGCCAGTGGTTTCAAACCTGACTTTTGGATAGCAGCTGGGTACTTTAACAGCAGCACACCTTGATCTTTTGTCAGTCAGGTTATCTTAACAAGCTTCAGCCTTAGATTCACTAGCTACTCTTTTCCTTTTAATAATGGTAGTTCTTCTTGGATATGCAATAAAATTACTTTGGAAGCTTTAAAAAACGGTCCAAATTCAACCCTAGATCAATTGCATTAGAATCTCTGAGATAGCGTCAAATATTGGATTCTAATGTGCAGCCAAGGTTGCAAAGCACTGATTTCCTGGGTCAATTGTAGTTTCACTAGGTTGTAGTGGGTTAAACAATATACTCACTCCTCACTTAGAATCAACATGGTTAGGTTCCAAAGGCCAGATAGTTATGCAAAATTGGTGTTATTCACAGCCATCCACCTAAGTAAGGTGTCACCCTAGTCCACACAGAAGGAGCACGCCAGCCCATATAATCCAATGTAAACAGCAGGTTCCAAGATTAGAGGAGGGAGTTGTATTAGAGCTTATATGCTGAGCACCCAGTTAGCAGAAGGCTATGGAACACTGTGAAAGTCCAAAGTCTATTTGTAGAGTCTCAAGGCAGATTACGCCTCCCTGGAACTTCCTCAGAACATTGGATATTGAAGTCTTGCCTCCAGACAATGCATTGGAAAGTGGATTACTTCAGATAGTTGGGTTAAATGTAACATAATTTCTTTTACCTTATGACTCATTTTTTAAAATTGTTCCAGTTTCTATTATCTTGTGCTTTCTTTTGAATTGAGGTTTTTCTGTTTTATTTGTTGTCATTGTTTGTTTTGTCTGATTTTCTTCATATGACATCCAGGATAGGCAATCCATAGGGACAGTAACTAGATTAATACTCTGTTAGGGCTATGATAGGAGAGCTTGAGGAGCACTTGGGGGGCTAATAACAATGGGCACAAGAAGGAAGGATATGTTCTAAAAATGTGGTGAGGATTGCACAACTCTTTTTTTTATATATAAAATTAAACCATTGAATCTTAGGGCACATGAATTCTATGCCAATAAAACTGTTTAAAAGAATGGTGCTATTCAAGAAGGAGGTGGCCAAGAGCTGGACTCTTGGAACTACTGTGCCTAGCACACCCTCTTCTGGATCCTAAGGCCCTGGTGTCAGGGTTGGTGCTTGACCAAACCTTGGGCCTTGAGCCTGGATGAGAGGCCCCAGTTGGTGGCTCTGGATGGTTGGTGGGAGTTGCTACCTGTGCCCAGGTCTTCTACAGCCTTCTCTCCACAGCCTCGGACACCCCCCTGCCATCCTGCAAGC